ATTCGTGTCCAATTGCGCGAAAACGTGAAGATAAGGAAGCGCAAGAGCTTGCAAATGGTAGAAGCAACGTTAGTTCCCGCCTGATTTTGGCATTTGTGCAGCATACATCTATTCTCGATAAATAGGATTCTACATTTTGAAAGTTGTTCCCGTATATCAGATTCTTTATGTTTTTAATTTATACAGGATTTGTGTATTCATAATACATTTTAATTGTCGTTTTCGATGTGAAAACATCATCCTAAAACTTATAATATATTGTAATTCACTTCACTACTCCGATTAACATCGTTGAAATATTTTAATTTAGTAAATTTATTTTGATATATGATATATGATATATTTTAATTTGTTTAAAATATTTTAATTTATTTATTTACATTTTAATTTATATTTTTTAATTTTAATAATCTCTCTCACGTTATAGAATGTAAAACGGATCTCTATGTTACATTTCTTTCTCGAGTTCTCTGATTAATTAAAAATCAACTTTTCTTTCGAGGCACGTTAAGAGCAAAGTTCCACGGATGTTTCGCAGATCGCAAACGAGATGTGACAATACAAACAACGTCGACGGCAAACGTAGCGAGACACACGATTACTCTCTTTGGGCGAGTTTACGGATGGGCAAAATTTGGTCGCAAGTACACGACGCCTGCAAGAACGTCGTAAAGCTCGTTGCTACGAGTGTCGACCGTGTTGTGAAGGATGCATCCAAATCGGAATGTTCGCAGAGAAATCCCATCGAAGTGGCTGATGCGACGCTCGCCGAGAGTTCGTCCTCGTGCGCCGGCAAAATATGCGGTGAAACGTGTCGTAAAAATTTAATGCGCTCAAAGAGCAGGGAAAAAACGGAAGCACGTCAAGAACGCACAATCGGGGACGTGGGAAAATATCGCGGGGATACAGAAGCACCGATGTGGAAAAACTCGCGGACCATTACACCTTCTCGCCGCGATACGCGGGAGCACGTGTGTCAAAATGACAAAAAAGTGGAGGGTGAAAAGTCTTGCATGGCTTACAACGGTACGATTAATAGTGATCAATCTTTATGCATCTACCTGTTGCATTGGCAGAGTCATCGAAAGCTTATATTTAACACAGGCAACACGTACGGCAACACGTCGCGCACGTTCGGATCAACTAAAAAAATATATATGTCAAATCTTTTGAAAGATATATCTTTTTTATAAAGATAATAACGCGATAACGAAACGCTCTCTTATAGTTTTTCTTGCCTTTTAATTTTCAATCCAAATATCATATTTTTCTGTCGTCTCTCTGCATCTTTACATGAATATTGCGCTGCAGTAGAAATATATACTTTTTTATCTCGATTGAGTTAAATAAAAAGTAATTTTTTTAATTTTATGAATAAATATAAATTTCTGCAGATTTGCGTTACGATCATCATAAAATGACAGAGATTCTGTTTTATAACCTTCCTGAAGACATTCTCTTTAAAAATTTTCAAATTTATATACATTGAAGACACGAGGTATTTAGATTTTACACGTAAAGCCTTTGCACGTAAAAATTTGCATTTAGATATGAATGTTAGATGTGCAATATTCAATATCATAAGTTACTTTCTTCTTTCTCGTGTATATAAAGTTCTTGTTTTTGATACGAAAATGATAATTGCTCTTCTAGAATATGAACGTGGCAGGCGCCGGGATATCATGGAATTCCCACCACGGAATGAAACGTACAACAGCCATGAGAATGTACATTCTCAATTCCATTTAAGTGAGTCCTTCATGTATCTCGAGAACTCTGTATACCCGGAACTTCGCAGCAGGGGTGGCAGCGATGATAACCGGGTTTCTACGTGGAACACTGGAGATAATCAGAAATCTGTGCAATGTATTTACGAAACGGCGAGACCTGGCGAACGTTATCGGAATTCCACTTCCAAAAAATGCGTGTGTTACGACAGAACTCAAGACGCTCGCAAGACAGGCGCTCGTCGCGTTAATCAAAACTCGCAAGACGTTGCTTGTTATGAAGTATTTGTAACTACCACTCAAGTGATTCGCGCAAATGTACCGGATGCTTCGCGAAATCTGCATCACGAGCAGACAAGTGTACCTTCTCTGGAAGATGACAGACGAGTGAAAATACACGCGACGTCTGGACAAACAAGATCTCGCGAGGAAACGGAAACATGCGAGGATATCGAGGCTGCGACCGGCGCGGAAACCAAAAGTAGCTTCATGTCGACGATCGCGGACGCAATGATATCCTCGACAGAGGCGAATCCCAAAGTTCATTCGTCGCGGAACGACCCGAACGAGCCGATAGCATCGACTTCCAATTGGGAGACATCGTCTGTTTCGCCGAAAAAATCACGGAGAAATCGTCCTTTGAGATGGCCAATCTGCGCGAAGATAAAATTCTGGAGGAAACGATCGCCCGATAATAAAATCGCGTCTGTGCTTAAACGGGACAGAAGGGGCATTGAAAGAAAGGAGCCATCGACCGCTATTACTTACGATAGCAGAGTGAAGATTACGCAAATAGAATCGTCTGTGCAAACCGTTCGAGAATGCAATAAGAGGCGGGCCTACGTAAGCGTTCAAGTGCAAACACCTGACGCGATTGTTATGAGGATTTTATCGGAGTTCCTTGTCAGCGGCGAAAAGAAGAGGAAGGTGTTGATGAGAATAATGCTGCAATCGGAATCAGACCACGATATTTCGGACAGAAAAGAGGCGGAAGCGCAAACATCATCGAGTGACATTACTTCCGACATGGAAATATTTGAACATCCGGGCAGATGTCCCGGGCCCACGTCGAAAGCTGTGCAATGTTTCGTCTGTGATAAACAAAATTGTTATGAAATAATAGAATTAGACAGCTCGATTAATTTAGAGGAACCGTTAATCACGGAATATCCAGAAACATCTGAATTAAGCGATTTAATCGAACGAAAACCACATATTAAAATTCCTCCGTAATTCGTATCCAAAAAATTTGTTTACTAAAGCATTTATTAAGAAAAGAAGTAAATCGATACATGTGACGCGATAAATGATTATTTAAAGCAGCAATACTGAAATTTGCGTTTGTCAGATTAGATCAATCGAGTCAGATTAGATCATTTCGAGATATCGAGAAATCGAAGTTTCAGTTAATTTAATTAAATTTCAGTAACCTCACATTTCTTCACATATACTCATATTTTTGTTTGTCAAGCTGTAACTATGTCATATCAAAAATGTATTCGACATATTCATATTCTACTAAAATTTATGTCCAAGTTAGAATTTTGATTAATAATAACAACAGAAACAAATAAGTTACAAAGTATGAAAAAAATTACCTTCCCTGAAAGTTATAAAATTTAAACAAAGTTGCATGTTCTAAATAATTTTTTTATTCAGTATGAAGCATGAAAATTGCAATTTAGCTTATTCAATATTAGCATATTCAATTTAACATATTCAATATTAGCAATTATTAACGGAGAGTAGAGTTAATATTCTATAACATTAATATTATTATTATTATATCAAATAAACATATTAAGCACCGCAAGCATGGCAAATAACAGAAACGAAATTGTTGATTCTGATACAAATCATACTAAACAAACAGATTGTTTGTTAGGCACTTACTGCAATGTGCCAAATGCAATTAGCAGAAATTTGTCAACGCCAGAGAGATATAAATTCTTTCACAAGATACTAAAGTATTTAACGCATTCCACTGCGCGAATAACACAATATAAAAAAATGAGATGTATTTTTAAAAAAAATAAAAAACGAAAAGTCACGCCGTCTAAACCTGAAGAAGAATTTGTCGCAGACACCTCATTATCATCAATTGAAGATGACGTCAAATTTGATGCGGAAGCCGATGCTGAGATCAAGCCGAGAAAGATGATCGATGCGATCACCACTACAAAATCTGATCAAGTTTCTGACAAAGTAAAATGCAAAAAACTTTTAAGCGCTAGGTACCCTATTCACCCTTTACCCAAGGGTGACATTTATCAATATGCGGAAGTGAAGTACATGGATAACGCCGCTTCGAAGCGTTGCCACGGTCATATTGACAGGATTCAAAGCGATTCCATGGATGGGGAATTCAATTCGGAGATAAGCTCCGACGCTTTTGCGAAAGCATGCGAGAAGAGGCGGCACGCGGACTTTATTCTCAATGAAATTGCAAAAGTCTCTGACGCTTTGATAGAGAAAGCTCGTTGCGCAGCCGTGAGGACGGAGACGGCTCCGTTCTGCGTGCCCGTATCGATGACGTCGAGAGATGAGATGAGAAACGAAATATTTGGTAGCGCAGAATCATTAGTGTACCCCATCCAATACGTGGAAGAGGAATCAACTTCCGTAACGAGATTAACCTCTAGGGTAATTATAATGTAGCCAGAAACGCTCACGGAAATACATAAGTACTGACGTTCTCTTTTTTAAACATTTTTGTGCAGGTCTCACGTCCTCCGACATGTTTTGATAAATCAGTCGAGTGTTCGAAAAAAGATTTTCAGACTGCACTTATTCCTGTCGCTATACAAGACAGCAAGAAACAAAGAGCAAAAGAAGAAAAGGAAGCATTACTAACGAAAATTTATTTACAACCAGAGGAAAAACCTATACAAGTGACAGAGAATGCTTCACAAGAATGTATGCCATGCAAATATAAAAAACCCAAATATCGAGCTAAATATCGCATTGATACTTCGTGTACGCATTTTAGTATTTCCGATACTTGCAGTAAATACAAAGTAGAAAAAATGCCACAGGCCAGAAAAATATACACAGTCAAGAGCTGTGATAAGATCTCGACATACACATTTCATTCTTCTTTTGAAGCGATAAGAAGATCTACATTTTTTAATTATACCGACAAATCAACAACGGAAATGCGCCAAGATGATCAAAGATTGCTAAGAATTTTGCAGCCAATTAGATGTTGCGAAGATTTAATAGCGTACAACATCTGTCACGAAATACCCAAATATTGCAATACTTGGATTTTCCCATACTTTACCTCGCAGCAGACTGAAGCTATACAGAATGATACTTTAAGCCATGTTAATTACTATTTCCTGCAAGATTTATGTACAACCGAATATCAACATGTCAACTGTCATTCGCTGGTCGCGCCAAGATATTGTAACGTAAATGCAAACTGCGCAAAACATAGAGCAACATTTGAAAATTCATTGTGTATCAATACACATTGTAAGAGCGGCGGAAAATGTTATCCGCATTTAAATAATGCTGACAACATTCGAATAGGATATCATCATTGCAGTGACAGTTTCCCAGTGTGGAACAACAATCAACGCTGTGAAAGGGATCACTCACATTACTGCACAAAGGGAAATTTATATTTTATGCACCCATAGTCGCCGGGACATTTGTTGTGATATAATTGATATTGACAATGGCAACATGCGATTTATTAAACTTGGCTGAATAATTCGTGTCAATCGTATCGGAGATGTAATATTAACATGCCGCTCTTTATTGCTTATGTATAATTTTTTATTAGGAGATTTATGTGCGACATAAGGTCGATTTCAAACAACGTTGCGATGGGAATTGAGCAAATTAAAATGGATAAATACGTGACGTAATCTGTACCGCGGCCCGTGACGTGCGTCAATCCTAATTATACTGCACACTACATACTAATTTTAGTTATTAACCTGTATATGCGAATAGCCATAAAGTTTTACGTTCTGTCCAATGTGCGGGCATATTAATAATTAAAATTAATAACGCGCTAAATATAGTTGCGATATAGTCGTGCGACAGTCGACCCATTGATATTCGGCAAGACAACGTATCATATTAATGCAGACAAAGTGATTACGCGGCAGTTTATGTTACGCATTGTGACGATGATTCATTCAACGACAGTAATTTAATTTGCATTTCGGGAAACAACTGGAATTAAAAAAGAAATACCATCGTAAGAAAGCGGAAAGATTGCCAAACGACCGCAAAACGACCGAAACAATGACGGAAATCATCCGCTCGTTTTTTCATCCGCTCGTGAAGTTACTTAGCTATTCGGGAAATATTCACGGACAAGAAAAAACTGCAGTAGACGCGAGGGAACCCGCGTCTTGTTCCCGCAAGAAACGCCGAAACGTCGAACAGTGTCGAAAAGAACTTGCGGGCTGCCGGGGAACTTTGCATCAACGGGTCCCGGCGGAGACGTCTTCGTATCCTTAAGCGGCCTTCGTGGTTGGCGATTGCGGCGAAAGGAACCTTCCGGAAGTTCGTTGCGAAGTTCCTTGGTAGCCGAATGCAATAGCCGGAAATCTAGGAAAGCGGAGAGCATATCTGTGGCATATTTCTGTTATCGAATATTCACACGTCGAAAAGGTACATGCTAATATCCATTTTTTTTCAATAAAAATTAATTTGGCGATAGAAAATAAAGGAAAATGAATGATAACAACATTTTTAATTTTTAAAATTTATTATCGGATGATCCAAGCTTGATTCCTGGTTTGAGGTTGTGATATTTTTTCCAAAGAAGAATTTCCTATAGGGGAAAAAGGAAGAGTCAATCGATTTCAAATTTGATTATCAATTTATTAAAAAAGCTTTAAGCTACTGCTGTCGTAAGTCTGTTAAATTTAATTAATGACACGTAGTTCGCAATATAAGCAATTAATTCCAAATTTATATGTATATAAGTTCAATAAAAAAAAAATTTATCAGATTTGAATTCACTAAGCAGTTGTCTCCTCCATTCTCTGTTATATAAAATCTTAAAATATAAATCTTATTCTTCACAAAATTCACAAAATGATATCTAAATTATTTTTATCAATTGTATTTTGTTATTCGTAGTTTCATCGTATAATCATCCCATGATGTATTCGGCATACAAACAGTGCTTCAAGAAGACTTCGCATTTTAAACTGCCTTTGTACTCGAGGCACATCGAAACGAATACTTCGTCAAAGTTCGTGGCAGTCCGCTCGGCGAATTCCTTGGATAATCGATATAAGAGGAAGATCGAGACCACTCAAGGTACAAATGCAGTGAACCACGCGAGCGATATTAGGACATGCTTGTCACAAGCGGCCTGGTCGTATAACGGGTAACTTGCTTTATGCAGTGGCAAGACTTAACGTCATCCTGGTGGATGCATCAGACAGGCGGCGTCGGAAGATTTACTATTCAACTTCGATATCGTACGGTACGAAACTTCGCGAAGCGGAGGAAGTACGATATCCTTCCCGACAGAACGACGCACCGTGCGCTCGTTGCCTTTCACGTTAAGTACCACATTCGAGGGAACGCTGATGTCGTCGACAACGCTAGAGGTTGCCGGAACGAAGTTGCTCTACGGGCGACGATAATGACAACATGGGTAGCGAGGACTAGCGGGGACTGGATCGCGCGAAGTAACAGCGAGGAAACTTTGTAACGTCAGGCTTCGCCGTGAAGACCGTGGAGGCATACTTCCTCGATAGGAGAGATCGCGGTGTGTACGAAACTAGAAGAGGGTGCGAAGGGTCCCATAATGCCCCTCGACGTCTCTATCCGCCGCCTTATCACGCTAAGTTGATTAAACACGGGCGACAACAGAGGCGTCTCCCTCCGCCACCCCGCAATTCTCATACTGCCTGTTGTTGTTGTTGTTATTGTTGTTGTTGTTGTTGTTGTTGTTGTGGTTGTTGTTGTTGTTACCGTTGTGTCTGTGTATCGTATTCCATCGTCCACCAGCTCGCAATGGTGACATCCACCTCTGGTCTGACCCACCTCCGTGCAATCTGCCGCCGTGTAATCCTCCACCGTGTAAACCACCCTCATGTAAACCGTCCCCGTGTAAATCACTGGTCTGTCCAGCGGCCTGTCCGCCGCCGCCGTTGTACGACACGTCTCCGCGTTCAACGTCTTTGGGCCGTCCAATTCCGACCAAGAACTAGCTCCGTGTTCCAGGCAGCTCCGTGTTCGATAGCCTCATGCTATTCGCGTAGAATACGCGTGATTTGCAGTGAAAGACGGGACTGCGTCAATGACGGTGAAAGGGCTCTTTATTAATTTGATTAAAGTTAAACACGGATTGTTAGTGTGAAGTTTAATAGAGAAATTTCCCGTGGTGAGTTGTACGATTTTACAATTTTATTCTTACGATATATAGTGGAATATTATTATTTTATAACTGTTCATAGTATAATCATAATATAACTTTGTTCGGTTTTGATTAAACATTTAATAATGTTGCATCCATTGTTGAATCATATTTTCTTCTCGTACATATTAACTTTAATATTTCGTAATTATATCAATTTATTATGCTATCTATTTATTAATTAGATTTATTAAAATTTTATTATCCAATTATTTTTTTCCTGAATATTATCTCAGCCAGAATAAATTTTTTATTTATTTATTTGTCTTTGTAATGCACACAAAAGAATTACAGTGTTATATTGTATACAATTAAAAAATTTAATGTTTGTATTTAATATTCGACCTAAAAAAGTGTCTTTTGCGGGGATGCCGCGATTAATATTCATATTAACTTTAATATTTTATAATTATGCTAATTAACGATAAATTTCACTACCCAATTCACTACCCAATAGTTTGTTTTTAAATATTATCTGAGAGTAGAATAAATTTCTTTATTTATTTGTTTACTTTTGTTAATAAATAATGTTACAATTTATCACATTTAAAATTTAATATTTGATAATACATCGAACGTAAATACTCGACCTAGAAAAATCTTTTTTGCGGGAGATACCGCAGGCAATCGTGTGGAAAGAACGTATATGGTTGCGCAAGTTCTGGTAGCAGAACGGGGTTGCTTGCCGAGAAACATCGGTTTGGAATGCTGCGGCGTTGGAAATCCGAGCTGCGGAGGATGTTGCTAATGATTCGCCGCTTTAAAAGATTCCACGCTCGCTGCATATTCAAGAAATTAATAAATAAAGCAATTTCTCCAACGTAATTAGGGAATTTATTGCTTCCGAAGGCGAGCAATTTACCTTGATTATAACTTCCTCCAATTTTCGCTCGTTCGCCGCAAACTGTCAATGTTTTCTTCAGGATAATGACAATTATCATAACCTAATGTAAATTGAATTAATCTAACATTGGACAACAATGTTGGACAACAATTAACTTAACGTTGGACAGTGTAAAAAATTAACATGGAGATTATCGTATCGGATTAAAGATGAGACTGTTAAATTGTTTAGTTAATCGGCATTGGCCGCAACGTGTGCTCGGCATCTCGAAACTATCCGCTTTCGAGTTTCTGAAAACTACGCATCCTGATTTATCGAATAACCAGCTGTTGAGTCGGTTGAGAAAGCAAGGTATAGACCCTGTCGAGATTCTCGCGGAGCATCATCGGCAGCTTGCCTGTGAGAAAGAACTTGCGCGGGTTCTACGTAATCTCGACGTCAGTTATCGGATTATGAAAAGGTAATGTGCTTTACGAACGAGTTACTTTGTAAGTTAACGAACCTGTCGTTACTGCGGGGCTTTTTCTCCATGAAGTAGAAAATCCGCGGCATAATTTCTCTGGAGGTCGGTACTCCAGTTTGCGATGGAAGCTGCAAAATAATTTTATTAATTAATTAAATTCAGAGATGATTTTTTTCTGTGATCGTGAAACAGAATAGATAACACGATGATCAGTAGATGCGTAGATTGGGCAGACTTGGTAATCGCGATCGGCAGGAACGGCACCTTTCTCTTAGCCTCGAAGCTGATAACGAACAACAAAACGCCAATACTCGGCATTAATCCGCATCCCGGAGGTAACAATACCTTTACCCTGCCGATCGAGTGTAACGGAGACATCGAGACAATATTCGAGAGATTGCGTGCAGGGGATTACACCATCTTGATGAGAAGTCGCATACATACGATAATGACCGGAGAAGGGCTTTACGAGCAGACCTTTCACGTGCACAAAAAGAGCCGCATGCAAGGCGAGAAAAGAGTCGAGTGAGTACATTAGCTTGTAATTAATTTTTTTTTAGTAGACAAACGATTAACCGTAAATTTTCCATTGTTTAGCGTATTTTATTAAAAAAAAAACCCGCGTCGGAAAAAATTTCTCTCCTAAAAGGAAATCTATGTCACATCGTTATTTGCCTCGCTATTTTTATGCAAGATTGTACTTTACATTTTATCTACAAAATTGCTGCGCTATTCCTCTCAGAAATGCAATTGTCATTTTCACTTGCGCCGTGAAAGCAGCCTGGGAGTACGTTATAGAATAATAGTATTAATAAATCAGGCATGCCAAAGCGAATAAGGTCGAATAGGGAGAGAAAGAACTTACGAAGCGCGACAGGCGTCTTTCTCCTTTATTCGCGAATGTCTGAAGAGGAAGTTTCTTCGAGGCGACATTAACCTAACACAAAAAGATAAGAGTTGAAATGCTTTTTGATAGCCGGAGAATGGTTTCGCAAGCGCAGCTGCATGACGTGAAACGAGAAATAATAAGGTTGACAAGGGAAAGAAGCGCACGCATTCGCTGCCGCGCGTGGCGAATCGGCCCGAGAAATGTACCGTAATAATTTCGTTAGCCCGCGTTAGATAGAGAAATATTAAAGCATCTTTCGCGAGAACGATGTCTCGCGCTAAAACTTTTATTTACCGGCTACTCCCACGGCGCGGTGTCTAAAGTTGAAACAAGCAGCGGGTATCGCCGACGCAGCTTCGCGAGGACGTCGCAGTGCGTCTTCATTGCCCGGCCCGGTCCTTTCGCAACCGAAGTTTCCGAACTTACGCGTGTTATAACTTCGGTAGTTATAACTTGTAAATTACAAGGCCCGGCGCAGTTACGACGTTGCGCAAGGAGGCCGTAACTTCTGAATTCGCGCGTGAATTTTACGGAGGTGACGCGACGCAATGCGGTGGAGGTCCTTAAGGTACCTCTCGATTAATCATATTGAGAAACTCTCTCTCTCTCTCTC